TTAAACATATTTTACAAATTATATATGATTGGATAAACAATATGGTTCTTCATGGACTATATATTCTGAACCTGACTCCCTCATCTCTCTTTCATAACCACATTCAACCTTTGTAGATTTTTTTTTTTTTTTTTTCTTTCTGTAGTATCTGTTTTAGATTTATAAAATATAGAAAACCAAACCCTCATTTCAAGTACTAACATAATAAGAATTATGTTTCCTAGATCATTGCGATTCCAGCTATTCCATTGACCATGTCAGCTGGTCTTCTCTTTGGCACAGTTACTGGTTCTATTCTTGTCTCTATAAGTGGCACGGTGAGTATTTCTTTTTCCCTTTTTCTAACTATACAAAGAACAAACTATCAATATTTGCTCTAAAATTTTCTTTTCCTGATAGTATTTACCTTTTTCAGGTGGCTGCTAGCATTGCCTTTTTGATTGCTAGATATTTCGCTCGTGAGCGTATTCTGAAAATGGTTGAGGGAAACAAGAAGTTTCTTGCCATTGATAAGGCTATTGGAGAAAATGGATTTAGAGTTGTCACTCTCCTTCGCTTGAGCCCTTTGCTTCCTTTTTCGTTGGGGAACTATTTGTATGGATTGACATCTGTAAAGTTTGTACCATACGTGTTAGGAAGGTTTGCTGCCCTGCTCCTTTTTGACTTAGTTAAAGTTCTTGGATCTCAAGTTGGGTTTTTGATATGCAAATGTTCTTATTGGCTGCTCTTGAGAGTTAGGGCTGTAAATTAGACAGGTTGAGCTGGAATTGGGACCTTTTTTATCCCAGCTCAATTCCTAAGGCTCTTAGGACGATATTGGACCAAATATTTAACCCAAGCTTAAACTGTCCTATATGATGGGTTACAGGTTGATTTTAGGCCAGACCAAAGTGGTTTTGGCAATTTAAACAAGATTCGGTATCTTTCTGGGTCCAACTTGTTATCACTTAGGTTGTCAAAATGAGTTAATAACCAACTTAAACAAGATTTTCCTCCACTTTTTGACCTGTTTGGATTGAATAGTCGTGACAGATGACATGTTTTAAGCAATGGAACTGAAAGTTTTAGTAAAAAGGAAATTAATTGTTTCCTTGCTGCTTTGAATTGCGGTCCAGTGATTCTCATAAACATATTGCTCAATTTTAATTATGTAGAGGTTATTAAGTGTACAATTAGGGTGTCGTATAGAAAATATATGGTTGAAATATCAAATAAAATTCTTTGATATGAGCATTTTTGCATTGGCCCATTGGACAAAAGTATTAAAACAAAGTTGAGAGAATAGGGTGGTCAGGACTCAGGACACGTCTAGTAATTTAACTTATGAATTAGATATCGTCTCATGAACTGATGTAAATGTCAAGTTTGTACATTTTTTACTCTCTGGTTCTAAGTCAATTTGTAATTGACTTGCAGTTGGTTGGGGATGCTTCCAGGAACATGGGCTTACGTGAGTGCTGGTGCATTTGGGCGAGCTATAATTGTGAGTCTCTGTTTTTCCTTTTCTCTTGTGGAGATTCTATGTTTCTCTCTGTGAAGGGGATGTGATGGTGTTAAGTGAACGGGTATGACATGTATGTTTAGATTTACCAAACTGCAAAAGAAAAAAATTCAAATTTATATTGACATTGACGTTGATCAGATGAAGACAAAACCTAAGAAAAAATATATTGTTAGTCACTGTGCTTATCCTTCCAGGATAAGAATATAGAACAATGATAGTACAAAATGGCGGTTATAGAACAAGAAACTGACTTATTACACATCATCTGGTTGTGAAAAAGGGAACCCAGTGGGATAATGTTAACATTTTTGCATCGGCCGAGGTATATTTGTGTCTGTAATTTCTATGAAGTAGGGGTCTTCTTTCTCAGTTTAACATGTTGTGACCAGTTAATATAAAGTAGAATACTGAGGAATATATTATGGATTTATTCTTTCCGTAAAATGACTTGAACCATCATCAATAATAAGTATGAGTGAAGATGAGCTAGGTAACACAAAATACAGCTTTTACATTAGTAAGTGGCTGGTTATTTTTTACTAGAGGTCGCACTTGGTGCGATGGCAAGTGCCTTCGCCCATGAGCGGTAGGTCTCGGGTTCGAGACTTGGGAGCAGCCTCTCCATAAATGGGGGTAAGGCTAGCCGACATTCACCTCTCCCAGACCCTACGTAAAGCCGGAGCCTTGTGCACTGGGTACGACCTTTATCGGATTTGTATCAAACTCTTCTTCTTTGTCTTCTAGTTTTGATACTACGAGTCATAAAAGATTGATCTAGTGAAAAACTTTCACACCCTAGGTCGTTCTTACTTTTTATGATAGAATAGATAGTTACCAGACCTAAGTCAGGTATCAACCTTGTCAATTGTGTGGTTAATATGGTTACAATTCTGGGAAATGGAAAGGTGCCATAGCATCCAGATGCATTGGTGCTTGTCATGCTGGCATCTGCAACACTGAGATCTACATATATGAATTAATGCACATGGTTTCATGCAGTTATTAGCTTGGGTATCCTATCAGATTAGTTAACACTTGTTTGCAATCCCTGTGGCGGGGGAATTTGTTAAAGTGAATAGTCAGAAATTTCAGAACCGTCAAATTAGTGTAGAATAGAGACAGTTTGTGGATTGTTAACTATCTTTTCAGGGGTCCATTTGGTAGCTGTTGTCATTTTCAAGGAAATATTTTGATTGATTATATCTTAATTTAGCTTCAGATATAGTGCAAAACTGTACTCTGTTAGGGAAGAGTATAGTGTTATTGCCTTCAGACTGGAATATTTGGAAAACATGAGAAGTTTATGAGAATTATATTCTATGAACAGGTAAAAAGCGGCTGGTCGTAATGAAGCCAATATGAATTTATTACTTACCAAGGATATAGTGCAGAACTTCATTTTGTTACGTCTTCCAGATTATGTAGTTGCATACTGCTGCTGGATAAATTTATTACTTACCAAGGATCAGAATTTGGCCTTACCAAACGCTGCTCAATTTGTTTATCAGACATTTTTATGATGAATTAGAAAACATGTGCTTCTGTCTACTGGTTGTTTAGTTAAGGAATTTAGTTGGGTTCCATATAGTTAGCCGAGTTTCATTTTGAATCATTTGCTAATGTTCTTTTTATCCTGGTGGTGTTTAAGCAAGAAGAATCTGAGGTTGGTTTGCCAGGAGGAAATGGTCAGCTCTTGACACTAGGGCTTGGACTGTTAGCCACAGCATTGGCTGCTGCTTATGTAACACGACTGGCAAAGGTAAGTTCCTGCTTTGACAAGCATTTTCGTTTATAGGGTTTGCCAAATCTCATTGTTCCTTTCGAAAACCAGACGGCTAAGAAGGCGATCTTAACACCATGTTGAATTCTGGTTTTTGATGCAGGATGCTGTAAAAGATATCGATTAGGTGACGGGTCTGTCTGCCCATGAAGCCTACACAATGTATTTGAAACTTTAAAAAAGATTAGAAAAATATGATAGCTACTTCACTGCCCGTGTAATTATCCAACTTTTGGCAAATTGAATAGGAATTGTGTCATTAATTCCTGGGTTCCTAGCTGTATCTTTAGCCCCATCGATTTCTTTTCTCTGTCTTGCATTGTCGTATGAGACCGATCTTAAAATTGAGAAATGTGGTTCAAATGTTTCCTTCCAGCTGGAGTATGTGTTTTTCAAGTGCAAAAATAAACCCAGTGAACACACCTCAACACAAAATTTATGTTGGTGTATAGACATTTGTTGGTTTGATGTCAGTTCTTTGTCAAAGTTGGCGGTGCCCAAAGTCAAAGAGCGTGCTCATGTTCGTTCATATTGCAGTTTTTATTTATAAAACTACTCCGATGCTATTTCGTGAAGTTTACCGTGCAATCCATTGTGCACTGTGTTGTCTCAACGACTACCAAACCCAAATTACAGCACTTGACAACAAGTTTATACTTTTGGTATGGTTTTAGTTACCGGTTATACATTTTATCACAACACCAGTAAATAAAATTACAATGGAACATAGATTACCGTCTGATTGAATAAAACTCCACATTCCTTTCCAACTTTGATCTTTCGTTGCATATTATGCTCTCTCTCTCTAATCGAACGTAGTCGGCCACCATCCACGAGTCTTATGCTTGGTATAGTGACGTGTAGGTTTTACAATTGATTACACGAATCTATTAATCTGACATGAAACGATATGAAAATAATAGGTTTGGGGTCAATTTGTTGACGAATGAGGTTGTTTTGGGTCACTCGTCAAGATAAGAGGTTCAACATGATCCGTTAAGGTAATGGATACAAAACAAAAACAACAAGAACGTGACAAACACGACTATTGTTTGCCAGGTCTAGTGACGTGTGCGGAATTTGTTGATATAATCATCACACGATGTTACCAATCCGCTCCTACTATAACACGTATGTAATGAGCAAGTCCTACGTTAATCTACTTATACTATAACATGTATGCCTATTTGAAGTCCTACGTTACTAAATAATTGTCTAGAAACAATTATGTAGAAACAGTCGTTGTACAATTGTTAATATAGATTAGTCATAAAAGAGAGTTGACAATTTCGATTAAGAGAACACTGAGTGGCAAATATTGAATAAAATTTGGTAAGAGCCATAACGGAATAGATTAATCGATACCGTATGCAGGTTGCCATGCATGCAAGTTATGGTTGAGCTGAGTGTGATTGGTCACCACATGTCCTGCAGAGGCCATGTTTGGCTGCGACAAGTGTCAAGTGTCTCCTACCCCTCCACGTTCAATGTCTGAAAAACAAGCAACAACTTCATCTGCTTGCTTTTCAACCAGTTAGTCACATGATCAAATTCCTCAGAGTTCGCCACGACTTCACCTAATGCATGCATTTCAGATGCTTTATGGTGCCACTTGTCACTGAGGGATGGAAAATTGTCAAAACTCACCACCCTTTGGGAAAAAGGAATCAAATAATTAAATCAGTTGCCTATCTATAAATATGCCTCCATAAACTCTTTGGCTCCAGATCATTCACAATCTCTCCTTCGAACCAATTTGAAGTTGAACCCTTTGAGACTCTATCACCAGCAATCGTTAACTTACGATGGAATGGTCTCCTCAAGCTGCCTTGAAAGCTTACTTAGATACTCTTCAGCTGGTAATTTTCTAATACTTGACTTTGTTTTTGTGTTTTCTTGTTAGGACGTCATGCGTATTGTTATTATGTGATACATTTATATATATTATATATATATATATATATATATTGTGATGTAAAATTCATATAGTATAATAATAGCCTGACAACATAACATGTTATATATATACCCACATCGACAACACTACTCGTTTTCAGTTCTTTTAAGTTCTTTGTTTTGTTAACTGAGTAATTCACATTCAATTGCTTATTCCATCCAGTTATTTTCTCTTAATGCAGTGTAAGTTTCACAATGATCAAGACTTGGTGCAAGGAAACACATGTAGTAGTGGTATTATAGAACCAAAATGCATGGAATTTATATCAGCTTTAGCAGCTGGAAAGCGAGCAAAGTTAATGTTGCAAATCACATCTGAAGGTGTAACACCGCTGACGGTTTCACTTGCGGTGGCTGCAAAGCAAAGTGGAGGCCGACTGATCGTGTGCATTAATAACGACGACGACGATCATACGGAGAAGTTTGGCAAAACCCTACTTTTGGAAAACGGTCTCGACGACGTCGTTGAATATGTTTACGATACTGATCCTTGTAGAATGGTGAAGCATTTCAAGAATGTTGAATTTGCGGCTGTGGACTGCAAGTTTAAAGATTACTTGAAACTTTTGAAGGTTATGAATCTCAACCCAAATGGGAGTATAGTGGTGATAAACAATATTGGTGTGGCTGTTAATGGAGGTCCAATTCTCGATCGAGTTTTCAAGGAAAAGAAAGCATTTAAATATGTGACCTTACCTTTAGGAGAAGGAATGGAGTTCATAAGATTCAGATCCAAGGGCAAGTGCAAATCCCACAGATATAAGAGATTTCATGTAACGTTTGAAAATTAAAATCTTTTATGTATTCCTTTTCTTTGTCCTTTAATTTAGGCCAAGAGGGTATGGTCTAAAAGTTGTCGAATCTTTTAATTTAGGCCTCGTTTGGTGTCTGGAATTGGATTGAATAGTTAATCCAGCTTCTAGTTGATATTATATTCAGTGTCTGTAGAATGAAGGATTGGAGATAAGTTACAGATCAAGCTCATTTTGGTATCCATATACAATTGTTATTACTAATAGTATACTCTGATGCACCGTAACTAGGCATGCAGGTTGGATAACTGAAATTGGAAAGAAAAGCTTGTTGCTGATATTTTTTTATATTGGATCTAAAATAACTTATTTCTGATCGGATATATTCATATGAAAATCACCCCTACGCGTAACTTGTTATCATTGAAAGGTTGGCTCTGAAGGAAATGCTTAATTAAAAGATTAATTTTTCAATATCAAACCAATAGTGATATATCTATGCTACAGTGTGTGTGTGTATCTATATATATATATATATGTATGTATATATATGATATGATATGTATGTATATATATATATGTATGTATGTATATATATGTATGTATGTATGTATGTATGTATGTATCAAAGTGGGAGACGATTCGCAAGTTGGCTCCACAAAACCATTCATCTGCCAGAGAATATGTGGTTTAGGCGTCCATTAATTTGAATTACTGTTTCCCAAACTTACGCGATTGAAGGCTTGTTTAGAAGATTGATCAAGGATTTCTGCCAAGCCAAGAAGGAAGCGGTTCCCACAAATTTGGATTACACGAGCTATAGAGAAGTGCTTGAGATGTTATATGGTCGATTACTTGGATTCGAAAAGATACCTATTTTGTGTTGGATGATGTGTGGCATATCGAACTTCGGAACAGAAATAACGAAATCACTCCCGGATAGAGAGTATAAGGAATTCAGATATGTTCATATGGCTAGGGCACCATCAAGCATTCGTACGTTGCAGAAACTGCAAGTAATGACGTGCATTGCATCAGAAGGCAACTTTGTTAAGACTTTTAGGGAACTTGACCCAACTTACTAGAATTGGCATTACAAATATCAAAGGAGGAGATGAGATGGACCTATGTCTCTCAATCCAAAAGACGAAGCTCCCTCACTACTTGTTCTTAATGGCAAGTGGCGAAGAGGAATTTCTTAGAACTAATTTGCTATGTTCAACTCCTCCACATCTTCTAACGGTTATTTTGGTCGGAAAACTGAAAAGGTTACCGCCTTGGTTTTCTTCACTCCAAAACCTCACGAATATATATCTGCATTGGTCTCGATTTGAGGAAGATTTACCTCATTGAAGGGATGCCCAACCTAAGAAGGCTTACCCTTATTAATGCATACGTCGGGAAAGAGTAGTGCTTTCGCATATGCTTTATAAAGCCTACTCATCTGCAGTTTTTCACTGAATCTATTAACTGTTGAAAAGGGTTATGGCCAACCTGCATTACATGCACCTTGATAGCTGCATGGAACTGAAGGCGTTGCCAAAGGGTCTTGAATGTCTTACTAAACTAGAAACTCTGTGACTGGATTTCGTGTCGATGCAACTTATAAAGTCCATAGAGGAGGTGTGGATCGCCCGAAGGTACAACACATCCCTGAGATCACCCCTTCTTACCAAACATTCTGAACATTTCACGAAAGCTTGTCTTAGTTCAGTTCCCGGAAGGTACAAATATATATATGTTCATGTGGTCGTTTAAACTACTCCAGTAGACAAATTGTTTCAAGTTCATAAATCTATTAAGACATCGATTTGATGTCCATGCATCCAATACTGAATCCTTAATTGTATTTGCCACACAGGATCTACGATCTGGGGGTGTGTTTCTGAAGAATAATTGGGGCTGGATGGGGGCAAAGTTCCTGCCAATGGCAAAGATGTTCAGTCGACTCCCTACCCATTTGTGAGGGTCTGGACCCCTATGAGTGAGCAGAAAAGGGAGGAAAGAGGCCATGTGCGTGTTTGTGATAATGTTGAAGATTGAATTTGTAAATTTGGGAGGCTCATGAACATGTGTTGTATTTAATCCCGAGACTGCGGTCAAAACTAGCTTTGGATATGAAGATGAAGTGGATTCCAAATTCCTGTCTTACATATTTTGATAGTTCATGATGAATCTGATGTCTTATAAAAATTTCCACCATGCCGACGGGCAAGGGAAATTACCTGCAATGATGAATCTGATTCTGTTTACTACCTTACTTTGTTTTCTGCAATTCTAAACACACACCAAAACTTATAATATCATATAAAAGAAAATCTTTCCGAGAAGAGTTGTCACATCAAATTCATAAAACTCGTTTATGATCATAATCTTATCACGATTTTGAAGGAAACAGTATCCAGGACGACTAAAATATGCTAATTTATCCAAGGAAATTCATGATCACCAAATGCAGCACCACATTGCAGAGAACAAAATCAGCAAAAGCCCGTTCAGGTGCTAAATCCTGCAGATTTACACGCATTGATCAGGATGATGGGATATGATGAGAAAGGTGTGGCAAGACAATGCTACCGACTTATTATCCTCAATCTATGATGAAGAACTGACAGTAGAGACTGAAAAACTGGTCTAGAGTGTGCAAAAATGTCGCAACTAACAATTTGGGAATCGGACAGAAGGATAAGAAAGACACTGTACCTTAAATTCTTTGTTTTCTTTGTTCACTTGAATACGGAGACAAACTGCAAATAAATAAATAAATCAGGTTGAGAGTTAATCTCCTCACGTCTAATATGTATTTACACCTGAAAAAGAAATAAACTACGTAATCCCCTTACCAGCAAGGACTGCTGTCCCTACGCAAGAAAGTACTCCAGAAAGAAAAGAGTTGAATGGGAATGATCCAACAAGAGCCATGTAGACTACCTGTTCAAAACAAAATAGATAACCAAATGAAGATTAAAGGACAGTTATAGCACTGCAACGCAGGCGTTCACTTCAACCATTCAGGCTCTGTTTTGGTAGTGTTTCAAGCATCAAGGTATCATCAGAAAATAGGTATTGGGCAGAGAATATGTTAAAGTGATAGATGCAAAGATGGACATGGTGAATCTAACATTGACAAAATGTGGTTGCTAAACAGCCCGGACCTGTAATTCTAGAAAGAGGGTGGTGGCATGGATCCACGACATGTATCCAAACAAGAAACTCTTGTACATCTTAACAGATGAAGCATGGACACCACAAGGTGATCATGTTGGTGTCAGACATGTAGAGAAAACCACAGAAACCTCAAACATATGTTCGTCTAAGCTAACATCTTACTTAAAACCAAGAAAATAACATGTTACTTGTACTCGAATCATGCTTGCAGAGTCCAGACAGTAATTTTCAATGGTGAAAATTTCATATAAAAAAAAAAACAAAGAAATTGTAAGCGTACCTTAATTAAAGAAGTAGACTAGTGTTTGCAAAATTACGACTACCATAACAGAAATGATTACACAAAGTAATACTTTGCACAGCAAACACCCACACACACGTTTAAAATCATGTATATGCCACGCACATATTCTAAAATCTTTTAGATGCATCCCGTCAAAGAGTCGATGTTGGGTAGTCACCCCATGTCATGTCATGTGAACATATTAGTTTTACATAGATACCACCAGCTTGACGCGAAATGACTAAACCATATTTTGGTCCCTGGTGTAAGTCATTTTTTGTCATTTGATAAATATAGCTTGTATTACTAATCTTTTCTCTTTTCAGTTCAAATAGAAACACACAACCACCAAACTGAGAAGGGACATTTTGTTTGAAAAGAGAAATGCTTGTCAACCGAAAGTTGGAACTTAACTAGTTTCAGATCAATACAAACAAAACTCAATTTCCTGAAGATTGCATCGAAATGGGGGCATCGCGATCTCTGCAAGATGATAACTTTCCGAATATTCTAGGCACCCAAAACTAAAATTGAGATGATGGAATTACCTGGATGAGGGCAGTGGATACGGCGAACCCAATATAGAGATCAATGATCTGGAAATCCAACACACAAAACAAAAAGGAAAAATTGGGTTAAGCTTTTCTCTGCTTTCAGTTTGTGAATTCTTAGCGATAGAGGGAGAGAGAGAAGGAGACCTTGAGAGTGGTGGGAGTGGCGGAGTAAGCAGAGCGGAGAGAATCGAAAAGGGCAAGCGCGTCCTGGGCCGTTGACGACGACGATGCTTTCACCATTTTTCTCTCTCTTCTTCTTCTTCTTCAGTCTTCCTCTCTGTCTCTCTCTGCTTTCAGGCTTGCAGTGTTTTACTAGATCCAACGCACGAACTGGCTCTCGACCTAAATGGTATGGGGACAATATCGTCATTTACGTAATTGTGTAATGATTTGGGTAATTTTGTTGAAATTCTAGTTGGGCCAAGATAGGCTTCCTTTTTGTTTAAATCCAACCCAATTCAAGATTGAATCTATCTTGTTTTATTTTCGGATGGATTGGAAGGTCAACTAAATTTTTATAACTTGGGTTCGAATTGGGTTTCATTCAACTTCAATCGGATTCGAGTTTGATTGGGTTCATTTTTACTTAGTTGGAATTGGAAAAGCTGTGTGAAGAAAAATAAGAGCCTAATCGCTTAGATCCCCATGGCAATGGCAGCACCAAGAGCAGCCGTGGTGACAGCAAGCCTTATAATATAGTCGAATCTTCCATTCTCCCTAATAACTATAGATATTGGAACCTAGACCACAATGGTTTCCATATTTTAGTGCACGATTCTAAGTGTTGAAGGAAAATTTAGAGAATAAGGACGATGAGAGACGGAGAGAGAAGGCGAGAGAGGGGGGAGCTCATGGTTTGTAATTACTTGTTTTTCCTTGTGGTCTTGTGTATTTGTTTTATATTAATTACATGGACTTTACTTGTTCTAACCAAGTAATACAAGTCATAAGGGGAATTGATTCTCAAATCCACTTAGAATCCTATTTCTGGATTTACACAATCACACTCCAAAATAATATTAACTACAACATTTCCTCTTAAGTGTGTAAAGCTTAAGAAGTAGTTGCATTAGGTGTTCTCAGATGATTGTTAAAGTTTTCAAACTACATAAGCAGTTATACACGCGAATCTAAATTAAGGTTGCATTCAGGAAACATAAACTCACAAAATCCTGACAATAGTAAAAGCCAAAGCGGGACAAAACCTAAGTCTTAGTGAAAAAGGTGAGAAGTGCAAAG